TCATGCTACTCCCCCCCCAGCTCGGCGGCCCAGTTTCCATGGGGGGCTGCCGGGGGGCGCTGGGCTGGGAGTGGGTGAGGCTTGGCTCCAGGGGTGGGGCTGGGGCTTGCCTTCCCCAGCTGGGCTTTCACCCCTCCCCCAAGCCTGTTGCCACTTCTGCAGGAAAACTCTCTCTCTCCACACACACACACACACACACACACACACACACACACACACACACAGAGATGGGTGGGGAACCTAAGGCTCCAGGGGCTGGACTGCCCAAAATCATCTAGCCTGAGCCCCCCTACAGGGAATGTGAGGAGATTCTTTCTCCTTTTCAGCCAGGGGTCATGTTGTCAGTGAGAGATTTTTCTGTTTGTTTTGGTTTGGTTTTTGGGGTTTTTTTTTTTTTTTTTGCTTCTGCCATGACATCAGAGAAATACAGTTTTAAGGAGTGTAAGTTTATACTGTGTTTCCTATTCAATCAGTTTACAAGTAAAGTTAAAACTATACATACAAACTCCCATTTAACAGTATAATCTTTATTCAGGTGAATCTGTGTCTGTTATTAAGCATACTGATCCTGTGCCTGATCCTCGTGCTGTGAACCAAGATAAGAAGAACATGCTTTTTTCTGTAAGTAATTTTTTTTAGGTTTTATGAGAGTTAGTGATTTATAGAAATATAGAATAGAATTTAGCAATTGAACATTTGTGGAGCTTTTAAAGTCTTTTAGAATTCAAGAATTATCCAGGTTAAATCTACTATGTATTTGAGAGTCTGTCTGTGAGACTGTTAAAGAACTCCTCCTAAATGGTAAGACCACCAAGTTTGGTAGGCAGCTTCCTCTTATCATAACTTAAAGCAAGGTAAGGGTTTGGTTGTGCCAGGACAAGGGGATGTGCCTGGAATTTGACTATTTCTAATCAAATGGAAAGGGAGGGATCTGCTAAAAGCGACAGTCGTGCTGTCAAATCACCACAGGTGTGCGTGGGGGGAGGGGGGGCAGCAGCGGCCTGCCACATGGGCAAATGAGGGATGTGAAGGTTGAACCAGTTAAGGTTAACTGGTGGGATGCCAGAGGAGCTCCTGACTCTGGCAAGGGGGGTGCTCCAGCCCAGCGATGGGCAAGAAGGGCCAGGCTGGAGTGCCGCCCCTCCCTTTAATCAGTTAACTGTTAAACAGTATGTGTAACTGACTAGTCAATTAAATGGGATTTTATATTCCTTCCAGAAACAGAGTGTCTATTCGTGGCCATCATCCCGGGTGCCCCCCTGCTCCCCGGGCCAGCCCTAGGGGTGGTGGGCTGGCCAATGTGGTCCTTGTAGCACTGTCCTGCCCCAGGGAGCTGCCACCTGTCCAGTTTGGGGGCAACCCCCTTCCCCACCCCCCCAAGCCCAATCCCTGCCCTAAGGGCCCCCCAACACATCCAACCCCATGCCCTGACTCCTGCACCCCTCATCTCCTGCCCTGAGCCCCCATAAGGACCCAAGCAACACTGGGTAAATCCTAATAGTATACACCTGCTACCTTACTGTATTCCTACCTAACTGCTGGCTGCAGTAAGCTCATTAGGATTTCCTTTGGGTTTCTAATCAATCTCTCTACTTTATTAAAATGAATCATTAAGGGAAGGGTTCTCAATCCAAATAAACTAGTGAGATTTTAACTTCTACTTTGGTGCAGAAACTTGCATACATCTTAAAAAGAAAAAAAAGAGGAAGACTTTCACCAGCATGTGTGCGCTTAGAAACTAATTCTGAAACCCATGTCATTTCACCTCCTAAGAACTAGCAATATTTCATGAAGAGGAATTATATGAATTGTGCTTCCTTAATTTGAATATTGTTTGAATATTCATTGACAACTAGAAGCTTAGTTTTAGTCCGCTTTGCACCATTCATTGCTTTATATGGAGTGAAACAAAAATGTGAATATTTTAGGATGTAGAAGTATTGAAACAATGAATGAATGATTATAGGTTATAGGTAGATTTTGCTTTTTCAAGCTCTGATTCTGCCATTCTTACTCATTATGAGAGTATATTTGTAAGGGCACCTGTTGAGCCCAGGAACATTCACTGTGTGTGCAAGGTGGCAGAATTAGGCTTGTAGTTGGCAAAATATGAAATTCTTTCCCTGTGGTTTAAGGGTGAAAGCTACCACAGATGTAAGCTCTTTGATGTGAGTGGTGTTGTGTCTGCTTACCCAAGGACTGAATTTGGAAATAGGTCTTAGAATTTTGTCGTGCTGCATGTTAATTGATCTCCATTGGCCCATTCCTTTGAAGAAAATCTGCATGTTCAGATTTATTGGGGAATGTTACTTAAAAAGGCGCTTGTTCCAGCTTTGTTCTGAGCAGTCTGAACTTAAGGTGGTTCTCATGAAATACAGAAAAATAAATATTGTAGATACAAATGGCTAATCTGGTTATACAAGTAGATCTTGATTCACAAGTGTTAAATAGTTTTAAAATGCTAACATGGTTATGGGTGGCAACATTTTATCTTGCCTACTTAAGGTTTTAGGGCTTATTGATGTTTAACATGGTGTTGTTAACATGTCAGACATTCTGTGCAAAGAATTTTTTCACTCATTTCCTATTACTCTGGTGCGAAGATCATTTTGTTTTACTGATGCTTTCTTGGTAAAGGTGATGCTGCTAACACTAACACTTCATAGCTCTTTCACCCTGTGTATTGCTAGTACTGTACTGCATGAACTAGAGCTCACATTTACATGATTAATAGTAATAGAGATGTAGCTGTGTTAGTCTGGTGTAGCTGAAACAAAAGATAGGCTTATGCAGCACTTTAAAGACTAACAAGATGGTTTATCAGGTGATGAGCTTTTGTGGGCCAGACCCACTTCCTCAGATCAAATAGTGGAAGAAAATTGGCATGACCGTATATACCAAAGGATATAATAAAAAAAAAGTGAACACACACAAAATTGACAGATCAGATTTTAGTCGATAGGAATTAGCTGTCCCAGCTCGTGCAGGGTCCCCCTGTTGCACTTCTGCCGGTAGGCTCTTAATACGTTTAAAAAGCAGAGGTGCAGTGCCCAGTCCCCACTGCCCCCCCGTGGAGATCTCCTCCCCCCAGCTCCCGCTCCAGCTCCCCCACCTTGCTGCCTCTGATAAAAGCAGTGGGAGGGGGGGGCGAAAGCGACTAGTTGAGGGACTAGTCAATTATCCAATAAGCTTTTGCTTATCAGATAGTCGACTAGTTGCTTACATCCCTAGTCTGGAAACATCCGTCATCCAGAATGATTCTAGTTAACTGGATTCCCACTTTCCGTGAGTGTGGCCAAGTTTCCTGCCGTCCCATAAAATTTGTTTACAGCCACCAGTTGTAGCTCTGTGTTCTGTGCTGTTGTTTAGCTCTAATTTACCCTGAATGTCTTCTCAGAGTCTAGTAAGCAGGGGAAGTGTTGGTAATGCTGCTAGACAATATTGACCTTCCATGGTCCAAAAAATTATCTCGTTCAGAACTGGTCAGGACCCGAGGGTGCCGGACTAGAATAGTTGAACCTGTAGTAGGCTTTTCATAGGTGGCTAGCTATCTTTTATACTCAGAGCAGTTGGCAGTGAAAGCATTGGAGAATCTAGCTTAATTTTACCAACCTGTTTGGAATTGAGCAGTGAAAAGTTGAAAAAATTTGAAAAGCAGTTGTATTTCAGACTGATAGCTCCTGGAATGTGTGTGACCTGTATATATAATGCTAACACCCCTGCAGTGCTGCAGTTTCAATGTACTGGGCCCCCCCCCCCCCCCCATGACTAATCAAATAGTTGATGGAGATTCCATCAACTACTCGATTAGCTAATTAAACGCTACTTAATATCCCTATCAGTTACAGACTAAAAACTCGTCAATTCATGCATTTTACTTCATATTGAGTTAACATTACCCTAACTATGTAAGAAAAAGTAATAAAGGAACATAAATATTTAAAATCAATAAGGATACTCGTGCCCCTTTTAAGGACTAATGTATACTCCCTTACTGACCTAACAAAGAATGGCTGTCAAAATAGAATCCAAAATAACTTATCAAGAACTGAGAACAGTGAAATATGTGAGCCACAAGAGCATTGCATCTTAAATTAGACAAAATCAGAGAACAAACTTACAAACCAGATTTGGAGATGACATTTTCTGCTAAGGCATTTAAGTTCTATTTGAAATATAGCTACTTCATTGTCACAGAACAACTTATGAAGCTTTTCCCCTTTCTTCTTTCAATTCCATTTTAGGGTACTAACATTGCTGCTGGTAAAGCTATGGGAGTGGTTGTAGCAACAGGCGTGAACACTGAAATTGGCAAAATTCGTGATGAGATGGTGGCTACTGAACAAGAGAGAACACCACTCCAACAGAAACTGGATGAGTTTGGAGAGCAGCTATCCAAAGTCATCTCACTCATTTGCATTGCTGTCTGGATAATCAACATAGGTCACTTCAATGATCCAGTTCATGGTGGTTCATGGATTCGAGGCGCTATCTACTACTTTAAAATTGCTGTTGCTCTTGCTGTTGCTGCTATCCCAGAGGGTCTGCCTGCTGTTATTACCACATGCTTGGCCCTAGGAACCCGCAGAATGGCCAAGAAGAATGCTATTGTTCGAAGTCTGCCATCCGTTGAAACGTTGGGTTGCACATCTGTTATTTGTTCTGATAAGACTGGTACTCTCACAACCAACCAGATGTCAGTTTGCAGGGTATGATGAATTGATTGATTTAGTCTGCATTTCCTCCCCGCCCTACAGGTTCTCTTATTAAATATTGCCTGAATTGTATTATTTTATGAAACCGTGTGATCAGCTTTGCTCTTATATTGTCAAAATCTTGCTTTATTTACTTACAATGCTATTTCACTTTCAGCTTAGCTTTCCACCCCATAATGTTTAAGGCTTTTTAATCTTTTCTTTATTTTGTTATGGCCAAAAATAGCTGTACCTACACTTGATGGTAAAATTTTTCATTTGTAGATACCTCAACTCTGGTGTGCCATGCAGTTTTAAAAACCAGGCCATTTTCCTTAGGACAGTCTCTCCATAGGTCCAGAAGTGTAAAGGGAAAGTAAATAGACATGTTTTATGCAGCTGGGCAGATGGA